GGACAGCTGAAAATTCGATTTTCGAGTGTATGGTTGGTGTTTACCATTGGTGTTAGCTGTCTTGCCCTTGTGAACACCAAGGCTTTACTTGGATCGTGCTTGCCCTTTTTTACTACAAAGATAGTCGAGTCGTTATCAGTGTTTTTGAGTGCATTGTTAGGATTATCCATACACTCGGTGTTCTTTGGAGGAACGACAGATTTGGAGTTCATCATCGTTGTTAGCTGCCAAGTTGCCTTGCTGTTGTGAACACATAGGCTTAATGTGAATCTTGTTTTCTTTTGGTCACCAATAAAGATAGTCAGTTGAGTCTTCATCAGTGCTTTAGTGCGTTATTAGGATTATCTATATATCACGTGTTCTGTGGAGGAACGCAAGGATGCAGCAGTCCAAGAAGAGAACCTATTACAGTCGTCAAGATGAAACGGAAATGTGGACTTTTTTATACAGTAAAATGGTGGAAGCATGTGGGAATACACTTTTCCCCAAAGGATTATTTGGGACCAGTACGTCAACGAATGTTCTGTTAACAGAAGTGCGGAGAGCCTCACTACCCATTTTCGGCGATATATGGTAAACAATCTGCACCAGGCCGCGCTCGAGTGCAACAAAATTATGTGTCTCTATCAGAAACTTCAATTGAAAATGAATCATATCGTAAAGAGCCAGTTAGAACAGAAGTTCGGTGTTGAAATCGAACTAGATGGAAATAGCTTTGTGTGGAGTAAGGAGGGGGGTCGATCACGCGTGGATAGGTCAGATCACGCATGGATTGATCGACCGCCTAAGAGGCGCTCGGGTTGGGCGGGAAACCACCGCATAAAAGAACGACAGCAGAGCCCTGAGGGTCTCTCCCCCTCAGTCGCCTCTTTGCGGGCCTCCCTGATACTGGTAGTTCCTTTGTTTATTATTGATTGTCTACGAATTGTACGCGCTCACCACTAACAGATTTCGACGTTATTGCTTGTTGTGTTTTTGTTAATAAAATTTGTTCCGAGAGTTGTGCTCCTTGTGTCCTTGTGCGATCGGTTCTAACCGTCGATACTTGTATTACCGACCTGTGACGCCGGTACATGGGGGCCAAACCGGTCGTCTAAAGGATCGAGCGTACAAGTGGCACACCGAGAGGAGATCAAGAAAGGCCGAGAGATCAAGGGCCTAAATCGAAGCCGCCGATACAGAGCAGAAAGGCGGTACGGTTGGAGCTGAGAGAGAGAGACAGAGTAGTGGAAGAGACGCAGAGTAAGTCGTCTCAGGAAAGGAAGGGAGTGCGGCAGAAGAACAGTGGGATTTGTTTACACTGCACATAGTTGCCGTCGGTTATTTTTCGATTTCGATTTCGTAATCGTGCCGTCGTGTATACGCGTATCGTAACGACTCGAGTTTTTTTTAAATATGGAGCTTGCTGGAGGACTCACTATAGAAGCGCGCCGGGCCAAGTCAATTTTTCAGGACAGCGACCGCTAGAATCGAAAACGGGAAAATTTTTTGTGAGGTTAGGCACCCCAGAATCCATTTTATATTATTACGGCTCGGATTGCACGGTATCGTGCGCGAAAATGTTGTACGAGGCAATCAGGAAAAAGGTTGCATCTTTAGTCCCCCTGCCTGAATTGAAAAGGCAAGATTTCTCGTCGATGAGGACATCGACTTTCCCGGGGGGCGGCATGTGGAGTAAGGAGGGGGGTCGATCACGCGTGGATAGGTCAGATCACGCATGGATTGATCGACCGCCTAAGAGGCGCTCGGGTAGGGCGGGAAACCACCGCATAAAAGAACGACAGCAGAGCCCTGAGGGTCTCTCCCCCTCAGTCGTCGCTCGTGGCGTTCATTGCGGGCCTCCCTGATACTGGTAGTTCTTTTGTTTATTATTGATTGTCTACGAATTGTACGTGCTCACCATTAACAGATTTCGACGTTATTGTTTGTTGTGTTTTTGTTAATAAAATTTGTTCCGAGAGTTGTGCTCCTTGTGCGATCGGTTCTAACCGTCGATACTTGTATTACCGACCTGTGACGCCGGTACATTTGTAAAAACGTTCAAACAATCGCCTACAAGAACTATCGAAGAACTACTAGAAGATGGCGCTGATATTGATCAAGGTCAATCGGCACAGGAGGAGGCTCCTGTCATAGTTAATTCTACGGAGCAGGCTAACGGATCGAGTTGTGGAGCATCTTTAGTTGAGCCCCCGAGGGGCGGACTGGATCTGTATCTAACCTTGATCCATGTAGTCCAGCCCAACCTCACGCACCAATAAATGACTCTAATACTCCGTCCCTCGATGGGCCCTCCACGGACGAGGGGCGGACTGGATCTGTATCTAACCTTGATCCATGTAGTCCAGCCCAACCTCACGCACCAATAAATGACTCTAATACTCCGTCCCTCGATGGGCCCTCCACGGACGAGGGGCACACTCGTGAAGTCGGAATTCAAACATGTAAGAGACGAAATGAGGTACCAAGCCGGACACGCCTCCGCAGTATGTACGCTACCAGAGGAGTCCTTGGATATTCTGGCTCGAAAACGCGATTACGAGATCACCGCCGATCAGATCCTGAGACGTCTGGAAGAACTGCGCAAAGCTCTCTGAGCCCATGTC